GACTTATTTTATTCACACAATGCCGATGTAGCTAGCACTCGCAACTACATACAAATCGCCACTAGCAACTGCTATTTTTAGCGCTAGCAACTGCCATTTTCGAGCGCTAGCAACTGCCACTTTCGAGCGCTTGCAACTGACACATTTTTCTACTTGCTACTCGCAACCCACCACTCGCAACTGGCGTATTTATGCATACCTCGTAAGTAGCGTGTCATATTGGCGTAGAGGGTGCGCTGATCTTGATTGGTCTTCTGCTTCATAAAAATATTCAAATCATAGATCCCAAGGTTTGTTGAAAAAAAAAAAATTCTTATTTACTACCTTGTTATGACAATGCCTTAATTCTCTCACTAGATGTCTCAGTAATGTGAGTGTGCTTCCATTTGTGGCATCGCCATGGCAATAGTGTATTCTGGAAAGATAAGATTTCATGACAGTAAAGATCTTTAGCAAGATAACGGTAGAACAAATAAATATTTTCATTTAGGAGGGAACCATTTGAAATCATTGTTGGTGGATGAAAGATTTGTTAAAAAAATTAAATCTACAAGGAAAAACTGTTGGCAAATTCAAAAATAAAGTATGTACACTGTTGGGAAAAATTCTTTCATGATTTTAAATGAGACCCCGTACAGTGTTCAGTGAGTAGCAAATAAATCGAACATAATACAAAACAGTTTTAAAATCCTTTTCGCCATCAGTAAGACGTCGCGTACTTCTTTCCAGCGTGCTATGTTTAATAATGTAATACAGTAAAGTTATCCCAATTCGCCAAAAGTTTGGATAGAGCATGTATGTAGTACATCCATGGATATATAGAGTCAGTTTCATCATGGAACTATAAACCCCAGGAAGAACAACGAAACTAAGAGGATTAAAAAAACCTTTGTCTTAGTTTATCTTACAGTGCTTTCGCTTTTGTTTCCACAACATTAGTCATACTCCATGTTAGTTGCCGCCGATACGCCCGTATCAACCGCTTTGCTGGAAACGGAAAACTTGAAAAAAAATTTCATATCTGCGCAGTAAAATATTTCGTTCACTACGCATGCGCAAACAAGTCGGTCTGCAGGGTGACCTTCAGTGTATCGGAAATCATGCAACGGGTCGGAGTTTTAGCGAGTTTTCATAATTTTCAATGTCGTTTTTAGATTACTTCTTGTTTTTTTCAACCCTCAAAAAAATAAGGTTGCGAAAGTTTGCGAAACATGGGGTTTGGTATGCTGTTTGTTGTCGAGATATCCCGACTTATTCCGTGTTTCCCTTCGATCGCCAGAAGTGGCAATGTGTTTTTTTTCCCCGTTGAATGTCGCTCATTTATCAGTGTTTTTGTCTTGGCGCCATTGTTTTTTTTATGCTATAACCGAAACAACTCGATCACGTGATCTCTCGAAGTCGCCCGATTGACTCCGAAAATGACCGATAGTCGGAGATAAACGTTCATTTGCGTAAATCGGCTTACTTTTAATGCGATGAAATAAACAGTCAAAATAAACATTCAACATCGCGGCAAC